GAACACCCTACCCACAGCCTAAGTGTATGTTTGATAACAATTGCATATTTGTGTAGATCGTTACTTTCCTCCCACTAGCTGTTGCCTTTTGAAAGAGAGCAAAGTTGTTTATGGTTTAACTGTGCTTAATTTATCTTATGACACCCTAGCCACTGCTTGCACAACCCCATCCAGTGGGGTCATTTTGAGTTTGAACATTTTCCAATAATCAACCATATTTGACAGATTATGTAAACAAAATAAGTTTGAGAAAATAATATTCCATGAGCCACACCAACTCCCTCCCGCTCCCCAGGCTGTCTCCTCCACCACCACCTGTGCTCTCCCTCTCTGTACCACCTAGTTCAGGGCAGCCCAGGCCCAGTGCAGAAGGAAGTTGGTAAGAAGTTTAAAGCCACTGGAGACACTGCCTAGTAGTGCCTGGCAGTGAAGTCAGCTGCTCAAAGCTTTCAGTGATGTGCAAGTTTCCCATCTTTGCTTCTACTCTTACCTAATGCAGAAATAGTTCCAAGTCTCTATGTAGCGGGCCAGGGTTTTGGCCTAGAGGATCTGATCAAATTAATGACTCAAAGAATAGATCTAATTCAGTTTAATCTTTCTTCTATCTGGTGGGTCTTCTTTTGTTTCCAAATGGGAACCTCTACTTGGTTTCCAAAGGAACGTGTTTCACAAAAGCTGAAGCTGATTGCAAAGTAATAAACAAAAAAATTTCCCAATATTAAATGACATTGTTTCTTTTTAATATATAAAAGTTTTCACTTTAAAAGGATTCAGTAGAGAAAATAGAAAAATATACAATCTTTTATCATTTCTCACCCTGCTACCATACATTGGACGTGTTGTTTTATTCTTATGCAGAGAGACATGTACATGGGTGTCATACCTGTTGGTGTAATTACTCAACAGAAGAAAATGGTCAAAGAAAATGAACAAATATTTCACAGAAAAAGAAGTATAGACTTTCAGTATATGAAAAGATGCTTCCCCTCACTCATAAGTAAGAGAAAGCAAATTACAACTGTGATCAGACACTATTTTCACCTGTTAGATTAGAAAGTCCCAAGGCACACTCCTGGCATTCACTGACATGGTGGTAGAAGTACAAAATGGTGCTCTCTCTATCATGGGCAAGTTGGCAGCACCTATCAAAATGACCCACACACACGTTCAAAATGACAGAAAACACTCTTATGATTTCAGTACTTCTTATAAGAGCAAAAGATTGGAAATGAACCAACGGCTTATCACAGGGAACTGATTTTATAAAATGTTGCATATTCACCAGTGAAATATCATGCAACTGTCTACGTATCCCTCTAGACTGACATGAAAAGAGCTCTAGGATATTTAAGGGAAAAGACAAGTGCAGAATAATGTAGATTGTTTAGTACATCTGTGTTAGAAGGGACAAAATGAGAATATATATACAGGCATATAAATTTATATACGTACATTCATTGTTGCATAAATTAAACCTGGAAGAATGCACAAGAAAGAAAAGTATGACTTGCAAAGAGTGGGGAGATAGAGACAGTGGTTGAAGGAAGATCTCTTAATGCTTTTTTAGAGTGTTTTGATTTTTGAACCAAGTGTCGTTGTTATCTGACAATTTTTATAGGGTCATGCAATACATATTATTTTTTCAACAATGCTTTCTGATTAACTTTCCATTTCTTTAAACAATCTACAGTTTTTTGAAGATGCATAGTAGACCATCCTACTATGCACGTCCTACTATAAAGGACATCCTTATTTTTCTTTTCAGTTTCTTTTTGGGCATTTGAGTTTATTTGCAGCTGCTATAAATGGTGCTACAGTGAATGAACATCCTTGCACATAAATCTTGGTACACACCCTTCGTTTCCTCAGGAAATCGATGGGTGGAGTGGTGAGAACACTCTCCAGGTTGCAGCAGGTTCTCACGTTTGTGACGGGCCCTGTGATGGCTCCTCACTGCGTGTGATCCAGGACAGCAGGGCTGGAGGCCAGGAGCTCTTTCAGTCACTTGCTGGCCTCCACCCCGTGCACATTAGAATTACTGAAGGAGGTTTTTAAAGGCCGATGCCTGACCTGTGAAGTCTGGGCCTCAGTGGTTTTTAAAGGCTCCCAATAGGAGAGCCGCTGGTATGGGCTCTTAAAGACGGATGGAGCGATGGGTCTTCAGTCAGGCAGACCTGACTGAAGTCATGTGGACTCGGGCACTACTCCGTGTTTATTCTCAGGCATATTTCTTAGCCTCTCTGGGACCTAGTCTTCACATCACTGAGATGAGCGTGATACCCGTGTGTGGTACAGTGAGAGCATTAGACACAGAGCACACAACCTGCCTAGCAGAACTCCTGATGCTCACTAAGTGGTAGGTACTTGCTGTTATTCAAACAAAACAAACGACATCAAACAACAAAAATATAGCCTGACAGAACATGACAGAGTCCATGCATTTACCCACATAAGATTCCATGGCTAACAAAAATGTTGAGTTTCTAGGCTTTGGGTGAACTGTATCATGTTGCTGTAGTATCTCTGGTTATCTCTTATTACTCAGATTTTCTAATGGGCAGTTATATGGGACTTTGGTTAATATAAAGGGGGAAATCAAATATTACTTAATTGTGACCTGCTTGATTGACAGAAAGCCTTCAAAAATGAAGTCTCTGAGGAAAAGAATTCCAAAATAGTACAGAGAGTTCATAATGGGGAAATCTTGAGAATTGTTGCCTTGAAGTTTCCCTTTGTTATAGTTGAGAAGTGTGTGGAGACTCTAGCTCTATAGACTATTGAGATATGAATGTTTTCATGTGGAATTGTGTAAATCCTTGCCAAGTTTTTCCTTGCACACCTGTGAATGCAGCCGGTGTTATAGTATTCATTTTATCCAGCCAGGTGAAGTGGACTTTAATCACAGTTGTCCTATTGGTGGGTGTGAGGTCAGCACATAAAAGTCTTCCCAGCATAAAAATTGTGTGGCATGTTGGCCTATGAACCCTCGAATTTTCCTAACAGCATTGGAGCAAGGAGAGGAAGTGTGCACAGATCTGTTAACAACGTTATAGCCCTATAAGGAAGGAAATTTCCTGCTTTAACTGAAACTAAAAGCAACCTTTTCGACTCTAGTAGCCAATAATGTAGAGTTTAAGAGCAGAGCTCCTGTAGCCAGGCTGCTTGGGTTCAAATCCCAGCTCTGTTTCTTATTAGCTATCTAACTATGGGAACATTCTTTATGCCCTATCTACTGTTTCCCCATCTATAAAACAGAGATAATTGTACATATCTCACAGGTTTCTTGTGAGACTTAAATAAGTTAACATGTACTTAGACCAGTACCAGGAAGAACTATCCCAGAATTTGCTATTATTACTTCTTTTGGATGTTAATCATTGGACTTGTAATTCACATGAGAAACCTGCTATTATTTTCTTTGCACACTTTCTTCTACACCGGGGTAAATTTAGGCAATGTGACATAGTCAACAACAAATGACACAGCTAGTTAGAGCCAGACCAAGGAGCTGAGGCTCTAACTATGGGGTCAGAGGTGTGACATCTGGGCCAGTGTTTCTCCCACCACACCACATGGCAGTTGTGTTGTGGTGGAAAAGTACTTGACCAAAAAGGGTGTATAACCTATCTCCTACCTCAGAAGCGCACCTGAACCTACCAGAGGCTTCCACAGCTGATTCTGAGGACCTCTAGGCCCATTCAGTCTACAAGAGGAGCTGAAGTGTCAGAATGATATGCTCAGAGAACAGCAGCAATGGGCCTGCTCTGCCCAAGACTCTCAGGCCATTTCATTAGCAGCCCCCAAAAAAGCAGCTGCAAATCTAGGACACACACTCACGGAATAAAGTAGGATTTCCACAGTGTTGATAACAAAGGGAGCAATTACGGTAATAACAGAGTATACACATGAGGAGAAAACAGATGCACCCACAAGTCCTCAAGAAAATTCTCACTGACTCCTTGGAGGATGCCTTTAGTGAAGAATCAGTGCATGTTTTGCTTTGTTTTGTTTTTCTCAGTTGACGGTAGTTGAAGGGAAAGCCACCTGATAGTAGGTAAGAAGTAGGTAAGAACTCAGAACTGGCTCTGAGTTCAGAGAGTCCTGGCTTTAAATGTCTATTACTTACAAAATAGTGACCTTGAGCAGAGAACTTAATTTCTCCAATATCTACACTGCGGACTCTAATTGTACCTACCTCCAGGGGCTATTAGAGGATTAACAGGATTGTCTGCTGCATAGCAGAAACTCAGAGTCCCCATTCTGCCCACATCTATCCTCTCTGTGGGGAAATAAGATTAGAGACGACTGTCAGTGCTTTTCTGTTGTATAGTACCTACTATTCAAAAGTAGGCCTGCCAACAGTGGATGCTAATGCTGTGGAGGACTTGCAAGTGCCAGGCATTATTACCTCATCTAATCCACACACTCCAGGAGACAGGGCGCTGTAACCCCATTTTACAGATGAGGAAGTTATGGCACAGGGAGTTCAAATAGCTTGCCTGATGTCACACAGGTGCTGATACCAGACCTAGGATTCAAACCGAGGCACTGGGGATTCTGAGTCCAGGGGCTTAACCCCTCCACTGCGATGCCTCCTGGTGTTAGTGCAGGTCTCATGGGATTATTGTGAGGACCAGGAAACATGGTGCCTGTGAAACGCTAGTGTAGTGCTGAGCACACACAGTACAGGTCATGCTAGATGTTATACTGACTCCATTGGAATGTCCCAAACCAAATGAATCTGAATCTGGTGACCTTTGATAGAGAAGTAATCTGAGCATCTTCATTTGGCTGTAGCTCCTCTTGGAGCCCGTGCCCCAAAGAAAGCATCATGACCGCTGTCTCAGGGAAAGAATTAGAACTGCGGTATCGACCATTGTTACGACCAACTCTAGACGTGGTAGCTCAGTTGTCATGCTGTTTCTTCCCTTGGACTTTCAGTTAGATTTCATCAAACTAAAGTACACAAAGACAAATGTAGACTTTTGATTTTTTTTATTGTGCTTATTATGAAAAACAAAGTACCAAACTCAAGTAGCAAACGTGTTGACTTCAGGGTGTGTAAAATGGAAAGCTTCAAGGTGGTCATCTGGTTAAATGGCCCTAAGGGAGGTGACTAGAAGCTGCATGCTGTCTGTACTCAGAAGGCATGATTATTTGGGTTGCTGGAGCAGCTGATGGAGATCATAGAGAGAGTGTTGCTAAAGGACTACCCCTTGGCCCTGCCCCTGAGTAATGGAAGGAATTCATTGTTGTTACAGAGTAAAAGATTCTGTTTGCCCAGTGGTTTAGAAAACTATTTTGTAATATTGACACAATAGAAAAACACACGTGAACTGAAATAACCCAAACCCAGAGAGAATGCCCAGATGGATCCTCAGGAGACACTTTTAAGGAGAATGAACAATGGAGAAAAGTTGCCTTCTTTGTGCCACCATCTGTTACGAACTCTTTCCACTGCCACAGACTGCTGTTCTCCTTAACAGGCAGAAGGCAATGATGGCAAAGTAGACCACACTCACGAGGAGGAGGAGGAGGTAGATGTAATAGGCAGAGGTGCTGGTGAGCTGCAGCTGCAGGGTGTCTAAGAGAAGAAGTTTGATTAGTTTCAACTGTTCTTTTGAAAGGATAGGAGATATTAATGGAAGGGTGGTCACAGTTATCTATTTCTGATGACCTACATTGCAGTGACACCCCACACCACCAAATCTCAAAAGTAAACATCTATCACCACCATTGCCAGCACCAACAAGACAACTCAGAATCCACTTTACAGGTCATGTCAATCAACAACCTCTGCTAAGTTCACTGAGAACATTCCAAAATATGAAAAATAAGGTTGGATTTTTAATGCATGAGTCCAATGGGAAAGAAGTATCTGTAATAAATAGCTTTTAGGGGCCCGTCTGGTGGCGAGGCGGTTAAGTTTGCACGCTCCACTCTGGCAGCCCGGGGTTTTCCGTTTCGGATCCTGGGCACAGACCTACGCACTGCTCATCAAGCCATGTTGAGGCAGCGTCCCACATAGAGCAACTTGAAGGGTGCACAACTATGATATACAACTATCTACTGGGCCTTTGATGAGAAAAAAAAATAGGAAAAATGGAGAAATTTTGGCAACACATGTTAGCTCAGGTCCAATCTTCCTCAAAAAAACAAACAACAACAAAAACAGGAAGCACTCATTGGTAGGAAAAATACTGAGTTGAAGAAATGAGTCCTGAATATGAGATACCACTTTAATAAATAAGTAAATAGCTTTTAGTGTTTCTTCACCCCTACCATGTCCCTAAGTGATAATAGCTAATATTCATTAACCACTAACCAAATGCCAAGAACATTTCTGTCTGAGAGCTTTGCTTGCAATGCTTTAATCTTATCTAATTTTTACAATAAGCTATGAGATTGTTACATGCATTACCAATTTTCATATAAACTGAGGACAGAAAAAGAAGTAATTTGCCTGATGTCATGCATTCAGTAAGTACCAGGAACCAGATTTTCATCCCAGCAACATGACTTTAAAGAACAAATTCTTAGCTATTCTCTAATTCTGCATCTCCAAATGCAATAAATACCACAGACGTTAAAAGGTTAAGCATAAATATAAAGTGGAATTGTGATTTAGAAGCAACTGAGCCATTACACGCTGTGCATGCAATGAGATTCCTACAAAGGGTACAATCCATGGAAATTTGATGGTGCCCACAGTGGGATAGGTGAGAGGATTTAGTAAAGACGGCATTACATAAAATGGAAGAGAGTGGTTAATCCAAATTCTTTGAAACTTTAGGAGGTCATGGCTCACTCGCCTCTCCTTCCTAAATGTGCCTTATTGTAACCATGCTGTTAAAGGATATTTGCACCTAATAGCCTTTGAAGTTTTGCAAGAAATATATTATGTCAAGAAATAATTCATGATAATGATGCTAAGCCAGACTGGCTATTCAATGAACCACAAAGGTGAGTCTCTTCCTGTGGAAATTTCTCTTTTACGTGTTTTATCTTCATAGAGTCAGAACTCAAGAATCATTAGCACTTGTTGGGGAAAGGGATCTCAGAGGTGATGTGCTCATAATTCCTTGCCCTTGGTCAGGTAAGGTGTTAGCTGAGGTCCAGAGCCCCCTTGATATTGGAAATGGAGGAAAGATCAGCAGGGCTAGAGCCAATGCTTCTAGTCACTTTCTTTGTACATATGTAGGGAGAAAGTGCCAGAAACTAGTACTGACTCTGTGACAGCTAAATAAGACACCCTATGCTAGACGTTCCACATAGGTGACCTTAGCTGTTCAATAACTGATTAGGTGTAGTTATTCCTGGTTGGAAGATGAGGAAATTGTTGATCATAAAATGTAAGTAATTTTCCTATATTGACGCAACTAATCATTAAAAGAACTGGAGTTCAAGTCCAGTCTGTGATACTGTGAAGCCCGTGCACTTAACCACCCCCCACTATGTGTTCATCAGGTTTCAGGATCTTGGCTTTGGGGTTTCTTGCCATAAGACTATATCTTAGAGGAAGAAGAGAGAACTGAGTAAGTGTATGAACTCTTGATTCAGATGGCCGGGTTGAAACCCTGATCTAGCTGTGTGGCATGGTGCAAGAGAATTAATTTTAACTCATTTTTCTCGTGTATAAAATTGGGGAAATATATTGTACCACCTCCTGGGAGTATTATGAGAATTAAACAAGAAAATGTACACAAAACCCAGCATAATGCCTTCTGTATAGGAAGTTCTCAGGACGCTTCAGTTCATGTTATGAGCTACTACCAAGGACTAAAGACCTAAAAATAAACCTGGAAGCATCTTGATGTCATATGTTCCTCAGTCATTAGAAACAAGCCAGACAAGTGAATGACTTCCATTGTTGAGATAATCCAGAGCCCTTCACTGAGTAAAGCCCATCACTTTAACTCACAGCCATCTCGTCCAAAAACCAGAATTACTGTGTTAAGACGACTCCTAGGAAATGATGGGTTTGTTTTAAATATCACTTACTTTACTCTTCAACATCTAGCCATTCTAGTTTTACTACCTTAAGTCAGAGAAGTCTAAAAGTTCAGTTGATCAGGAAGAAAAAATTGCTATAGCATGACATGAAGGCAAACATAGACAAAACTTACTGCTTTCATCTCTCAGACAAGCTTTTGTAGAATTCATAGCAGTGACCTCTAGAAGAAAGGAGAGCAAGTATTAGTCAATTGTTCATGCCTGTTATTGTACAGTTGTTATATGTGTGTGTATATATGCACGCAGACACACACACATATATATGTATATAAAATCTGTCAACAGAGAGACAGGAGAGATACTCATTAAAAATATGAGCCCCACCATTCCAGGAATAATTTGTCTTAAGTACTATGAACCAAGAAGTCCAAAAGGTAATTTGATCAGGAGGGAAAAATTTCTATAGCATGACATGAAGGCAAGCATGTAAAAAAACTTACCACTTTGCTCTGTTGGGGAAGCTGTGGTAGAATCAGTAACACTGACCTCTGGAAGAAATGAGACCAAGTACTAGTCAATTCTCCATGCCCATTATTTAACAGGGTGTGTATATACATATATTATTATATATATGTAATATGCTGGCAGAGAGGAGAAACAGCCACTAAAAATATGAAAATTATGAGCCCACAATTCTAGGAATAATTGGTCTTTTCTACTTTAAGCCTGAACATGTTAAAATTTAAGTTGATCAGGAAGGAAAAAATGCCTGTAACATGACAGGAAGGAAAACATATGCAACCACTTACTGCTTTCAACTTTCGGAAAAGCCTGTGTAGAATCAGTAGTACTGACAACTGAGGTGACAACTAGAAGAAATGAGAGCAGATACTAGTCAATTATTCAGGCCCATTATTCAACAGTGTCCATATGTGTTTACATGACTATCCGTGTATGCACACACACACACGCACACACACACACAATTCGCTGAGAGAGACCGTCCTTAAAAATATGAGCCCTACAATTCCAGGAATAGCTCATCTGAGTCTATGTAATTCAGTAGATCTAATTCAGGTATTGTGTTTCTGCATATGAAGATGTTGACCTTCAAGACAAATACATTTTTTTCTTCTTTATCACAACAGGATGGTAATATCCAAGACCATCTTCTTTTCCTTCTGTATTCACAGCTCCTAGCACAGTGCCTGACACAAAGGAGGCGTTGGAGAAATACTTGTCGCATGGAAAACAGAAAATGTGGCTGCTCTACAGTGTTCAGCACATGCTGCTAACATGAAGAGTTGCTGCCAAAATCAATTCTACAAATCTTAGAATCCACAACAGAGTCTCAGGTTTGAAGGAGTCTGGTTTAGGCAAATTTCCCATTAGAGCAAAGGAATCAGTCATACCTTTCCAAAGCATGCAAATGCCAATATCCCCAACTCATGCACATGATTTCCAAGTTGTGGTGTTTGTGGACATGACAGCAATATGAATAAAAGCGAAGCGCTATTGAGTGATTATTACTGCACCAGGCACTGTGTTAAATGCTTCACATGCATTATCACCTTTAATGCTCCAGTCAGGCTGAAGTGAGTTGTGGTTTGGAGAACTCAGTGTTACAAACAAGGAAACAAGGTTGGGAGAATAAGTAACTTGCCAAGAGTCATTCCAGTGACGGTAGAGCCAGCATTCAACTGATCCTTGCGGGGGATTCAGTGAGATAGAGCAGGTGGAAAGCACTTTGTAAAAACAATCCATAGGAATAGGAAATAATCTATATTGAAACAACATAATTTCATCATTATGGACACTAAAATCATCTTCTCTTCCAGATATGTTAAATACTCTCAGCAAATGACCTTTTCATTATAGGAGCCCAGCATTTCACAGCAATCATTTCCAAAGATAGAAAGATAGGCCAAATCACATATACAGTTCTATAAATAGGTAAAACATGAGGTGAGGCTTGTATATAACGCAAAAAAAAAAAAAAGGTGGCAAACGTACTAAGATAAAATTTTTTAAAAGATAATTGACTGTAGGATGGAGGAAAACAAAGGTGAAACCGTTGTTTTGGTTGTTCCTTTTTCTACTAGGTGTGTTCTTGTCCATATGGATATGGTTCTGATATGCAATTTTATGTACTCATGAGATATTTTTTTGATGGCTCTAAAACTGGGTTTGAGGTATAGGATTTGGAATAAATTCCAAGAATTAAAATGCTAGCATAATCATGTTTAGATATTAAAATATCTTCAACACTGACTTTAATGTGTCTTAAAAGTTTCTTTATTTTCCTTAACAGTGACATTTTTATTAAAAAATGAATGAAACTCTTTTATTATCATGCACTGTTCTTAGCTGTAGAAATAGTAAACTAGGACTATTTTTTAAATCTTTCATTAGTGAGTTTTAGGAAAGGATATTAAAAAATACAATAAATATATAAATAAACACATCTATGTTATGTTTTCAAAAGCAAGTGTTTTCACTGACATTATTACGTTTGATCTTCATCACGGCCCCAGGAGAAGGCCAAGGCAAGCATTCAAATCTAATTTGGTCACTGATGAAACGAAGGATCCGAGAAGATCAAGACTGACTTCAGAAATTAATACTGGTACAGAGCAAAGGTCTTTGCATGTTTTGTTATGTGCTTGGCCCCAATGCTTCAAAGGGGCTTGTGAACCACAGGGAAAAGTAGAAACTTAGTCTTTCTTGTGGGTGATCTGGGGCCTTTGGTCTGTTGTGTTCGTACTCAGGACAGCAAGTCTTGAGTCTAGTGAGTTACTGGACAACTGCCAGGACTCCTTTGGTACATCATGCCTGAATCACAAGTGAACCCGAGTGATTAGGAAAAGAATATTTCTCTTTACTGTACTGCATCCTCTTGGGACTGTAATTCATCCCAGTGTGCTCATCCACACATCCCTTCCAGGCCGGGCACAAGCTAGGTCTGCAATAAATGTTTGTTGAGCTGCATTTACCAATGGCAAGAAATACATTCATTACGTAGAATGGAAGAATGTGTGTACACATTAGCCTCACTCAATCTGTAATTGTGAAATTTTACCTTATTTCACATCAGGTAATAACATAAATACATAAAATACAAATCTGGAAAATCTAAGGCCATAATAAAACTGCAATGGCCAAATTATTCTATTTTTTGTTGAGCTGCAATTTGGCTTGATCAAAGGAACACAATTTTGTCACCTAATAACATTGTTTTGTGATTATACTCTGAGTATAGTAAGATTAAACTGAGAGTGACTGTTTTTGCTGAGCAGAACATTCCTGAAAGAGGTATAATTGCTCTTATTTTGTCATCAAGTAAGTTCATCAAAAGGGGAATCTCTTTTTGAGTATTTCTTGTGTGCTAAATTGTTAGGTGCTTTCACGTATGCTGTTTCATTAAATCCATCAACAAACCTAAAAAACATCACTGAGACCTCAATATTATGGTTGATGAAACTGAGGCTGAGGAAATTTTTCTTCTTCTTTTCTCAAGCCTATACTATTTTACTTCTAAGGGGAAATAGAGGAACATTTATGCTACAAATAAGTGGAACAACATTTAAGAAAGATTTATATTTGTTTGTTTTTCATTAATTCTTGACAGAAAAGGTGGGATATTCCTTTTGAAAACAAGTGTTCTGGGAGGTTATATTTATATACACATACCTTTGTTCACTGAAGGAAAAAGAATCTCTTGGTCAACCCCTCCAATATTATTCTCATGTTGGACGATACATCTGTGCTCTTTATCCATTGACCTTCCCGTCACGGTCAGCCAGCTGAATTTCGTGTACGTGTCATTAGTCTTCATGGTATTTCCCTGCTGGGATTCCAGAATTCTATTGCCATTCTTTTCTTTCCAATATACCTTGATAACATCAGGGAAGAATTTCTCAAGAAGACAAAGAAATGTCCCAGCATTATGGAGGTTTATTTCAGCAACTGAAGGAAGAAAAATGGTGGGCTTGGGGGAAATGTCTACAGGAAGGCTTCTACCTATGGGAGAAAATAGAACAGCCATTACAAAGAATCATTAGAGATGCACAAACATTGTGTGGTCTGGAACAACCTAGCGCATATAGTAAAAGGAGGAAAAGCTGCCATTGAGTTAGTGCTTATCACGGCCTTTCATCCACAATAGTCTGTGAGGTATTTATTGTTCTTATTTTCAATGGGGAAAGAGGTTTCAAGAGGCTATGTAACTTGCCCAGAGTCACATCTGTGAAGTGGCAGAGGCTGGATTATACTTTGTCCTTCGTTCTTTCTCCACATGCTAAAATGGGGTGTGACTTTTAACCGCCCAATTTCAAGGCATCTAATGTTCATGAACACATGCATTTTTTTAAATCTCGTTTGTCCTATCATAGTGGAGCATGTTTTCAAGGTGGGTTGGTAGATAGGAGGGATAGGGGAGGAGATCAGGTAACTTCGATGATCTCTCTACTCATGAGAATGTTTGGTCCTTTCTAAAGTACTTCCCATTCCCATCCTGTGAATTTTGTAACTTTTGCGCCTTTGGCCAAGTAACACTTTCTTGTATTCTTCAACTCTGTGAAACCTCGCTCTTCATTTAACTGTTTCTGGATTACACCATATTTATCCTATTTGCCATAAAAATAAACATCAGGAGGAAAATTTTCATTTGTTTTAAAACAATGCACAGTCACTTGTTAATTGGATTTCATTTCCACGTGTACTTGACAATCAAGTTGACCTTTTAACTTCAAATGTGGATCCCAAGCCCAGTTCTGAGGTAATGGAATTTTCCTACTTGATGTCTAATTTTATATAACATCTCAATTCCACATCTGAACCACCCTAGGGGTTTGAGTAGGGCAGTATTAAAGCTGCATCTCCAAATTATATCACAATGCCTTGAATATAGAAGCAAAATAGCAATATTTTCAAAACTCCTATTAAAAAATTTCTTATTTTCAGAGATGCTATTATATTAAGTGATGCATTTATCAGAATTTTGTTTCACTTTAGAATATGTTCACCAAAAGTGCATTTTATTTTGGAATTCCTTAAAGTTTAAGCATGACAAAGAATACATCACATTTGACTCTCAATGTCTCCTCTAAAATTTATACCTAGCCTGTAAGGCTGCTGAACTGTGTTAGAGCTCCACTATTTTCTTTATTTCACCTGCTGAATAAAGTATATATACCATTGGTGTAATGTTAAATGTCACAGTTCCAGAGTCTCTTGCAGACTTAATGTCAAAATATATAACAAAACCTCATAGTTTACAAAGGCATATCACTTGAATGCTGGAATGGTAGTTGATTATACATTTATTGTTAATCTAATGATTGGAATTATAAACATTAAAATTTTACAATTTGATTTCCAAGTGACACACAAATGGTTTACTAATATTCTCTTTGGGCTAGCTTGGAGTTAAATAATTCAATGGACAATTTCTTAAGAAAAGAAGAATTTGATTTCTTATTTGAGAAGGAAAAAAAAAAATTCTTGAGAAGTTCTGCCACTATAGCAAACTCTTGATTTTTATACTCAATTAGTAAGCAAACAATCCTGAGTTTTTTTTCATGCTGTAAATACAATTAGGTCATAATGTGCTTATTTTAATTTTATACATCTTGCTTTTAGTGTAAATGGTATTTTATTGATTATGTTAGTAAGACACTATATTTCTCCAATCTTATAACTTGTTTTTAATTTAAAAAACATGTTCCATAAAGCAAGATTGATTTTTCAGTCATAAATTACGTTTACATAATTTTAGTCTTTAGCCAATTTATTAAAGAATCATTTTAATCTTCAGAAATTTTATTTCTTCATAAGAATATTTCTGATTCATTATAGTAAAGAAATTGAAAATCAAATGATGAATTGAAAATTTTCTGTATGATAACACACTATTCTTACCTCCTGTCCCTTTCCCTTACGTGGATTCTTGAAGTTTCAGTTGTTTCAGGATAAAATGAATCTTGCATTTCCATAACTTTCTTAATGTAAGAGTTAACTGAGCATTAAATAGTGTACCTGTGTATATATGGTTAGTGTTTATATTTTAAATAATTATATTACATGCTTTTTCTTGAAACATTCTTTTTAAAACTTATTAACAGTGTTTTTTATGGTCAAAGTCATTTTCATGGTGCGTAAAAGGGAAACCAGGTAAAAAAATAAACAAACCTAATTCATTTATATACATTCATATGCATAATCAAATAATACATTTCAGTGAAATTGCCTAACTTGTTTATATTTTATTGAGATGGAACAGTATGAATTCTACATAAATTTACAAATGTCAACTACATTTTGCATTGAGAGTATGATATTTCAAACTTACATGTTGATATTCATTTAGGTGTTCCTTAGATTCTTCTTGTAATTTTTCTTTTATCAAATAAATAATCATAGCTACTTTATGTTTAAATATGTATTTCAAATTTATGACAAGTTTCTACAATAACTGATTTTACATCTTGACCATGTTCTGTTTGAATTTTAACTTTTTTTCTGATAAACATTAGCATGAATCTTAAATTTATTGGCTATAAGTTTAAGGGCCAACAAATGTTGGCATTACAGATAATATCAATTAAAATAATGGATTGAGATTTAAAGCATATAGAACAACAAAATAAAAAACAAATACAGTTTAATCTCATTTTTGTTCCCAAATGAGAGAAAAGTCTGCTAAAGAGAAGCAAATACCTCCAAATTCATTTTTATGTGTGAGTGGACAATGAGGTATCTTTCCATTTGAGCAGTTAGAGGTACAGCTGAGTGCTCTGGAGAGCTGCTGCTCTGTCAACGTTACTGGCTGCAAAGAGTGCTCCACCTGGATGTAATTCTCCCTTTACATTTGAGCTGGGGGAACATGTAACCAGCGCCTATTCCATGTTAGACAATGTGCCAAGTACTTTATTCACACTATTTCATTCAATTCTCATATAACCTCTGCTGGATACATACTGTCATACCAATTTATGGATTAGGAAGCTGAGGCCAGAGAATAATCGCCCAAGTTCACATAAGCAGGACGTAAGTGGTGGAGCCAGGTCAGCCTGACTCCAAAGCCCAGGCTCTTTGACAAGACCCTCTCACCATTAGAAAGGAAATGTGTCAACTCACAAAACTTACCCGTAATCATAAACATTGTTCACGGGCTAAACACTTTCATGCTAACTATATATATCATATTTGAGTTTTTTATATAAGTCCATACGTACACAAAGCCAAATCTTATTGCAATATTTGCACAATGTTGTCTATGCTGATCTTTGCCATAAGGATTTGTTTTAAAATCACTCCTAAGATTTCTACATCCAATCCGCATCACATTCCTGTTTTTTCTAAACATTCTTAACTATTATTCCAATTTAATTACTTCTTGCCTTCCCTCTATTACCTTGAAAAATTCCACTCTTCTGATACCCAGGCGTGACGACGTTTTGTTCCATCAGTGAGGAGTTCTGTATAATAATTCCTCAGTGATCAGCCCATATCAAAAACTTTAGACTAATTTAGCTTCTCTGAACTCTTCAAATTCTAGGGAACTAGGATGACCTGAGGACTCAAGAGACCAGGGTTCTGGTCCTGGTGCCTTTTCCTCACAAGTTCTGTGGCTGAGAAATCAAGTAAATTAAAGGCTTTGGTGCCTTATTTGTTTGAAAACAATAATGTTACTGTAAGTCAATTCAACATCCCTACTAGAGCTGAAGTGAGACCAAAATGACATGAGATCTGAAAAGTGATTTCATTAAAAATGTTATAGAAATAGAGATTATAATTACTATTATGGTCATTATTATCATCATCATTATTATTAACGATTTGTTTGTGATGATTGTGTGCTCCAGCATGACATTTTAATCTCATGGGACCAAATTGTTCTTACTAATAGGAATTTAGTATTTTGAGGTTGCAGTTAGATCCCAGGCAATTAAGCGTGAAGACTTGTTCCTTCATTTGCATTCCACTTTGCTCTAATATGTCTGGAATTCTCAAAGCCATAAACACAGGAAGCATGTGTTTCACACATCCAGTTAATAGGGAATCATTGTCTTTTCTTATCCACTGTATTCACAGTTTTAAGAAAATCTAAGGGAACACTGACTAAAGCCTAATAACATGCAATCAGTATATGGAACTGCTTCACTCGTGTTGTCCAAAACAAATGGCTCTTTTCCTTAATCAATGGCACAATCTATTTGCATTCCGAGTTTTCACCAGAAATTTCAGCCTCAAACTGACATCTTTCCAGCTCATGTGGAAAGTTCATCTTGAAACTCCTGGCAGCGGGCCTTCAAGGCAACTGACTAGAGAGATGGCAGGATGCCTGTTCTCAAATCCTCCTATTGACACGTTAGACACTAAATGTTACCTGCCTGACCATAGCTTCTGAGGGTCACCATCTGTGGACGACACTCAACGTTATGATGCACATAGCCTTGATGCAGTGGTGGGATAAAATGGGTTTGCTGAAAGACCATTTCTTCCATTTTAAAATGAATGTTAAAGGCAATGTCCACTCTTTTACTTCCCTTTCCTCCTAAAGGACTCATGCATTGAAGTCCTTTTCTAATTTTATGGTGGGAAAAACACATCCTATTTGAAAATTCAGTGTGCTTCATTTCATCAGTTAGTGAAAACTATGAATTCCATTTCATTTTTTCTCCCACCTCTGAGCGTAAAATTTGACCCTGTGCTTGTTGCAAGATAACCACAGATCTTTTTTCTTCTGCTTTCCTTAGTGGTTTTGATCTTCTATTTTTATTTCATGGTGTGACTGTACTGGCATACCTCAGAGACATGGCAGGTTTGGTTCCAGACCACCGCAAAAAGGAGAATATGGAAATAAGGCAAGTCACAATTTTTTTGGCTTCCCAGAGCATATATATGTTACGTTTACACTCTAGTCTATTAAGTGTGAGATCGCATGATGTCTAAAAAAACAGTGAATGCACCTTAACTAAAAAATACTTTATTGCTTAACAATGCCAGTCATCTGAGCC